TAATACAGTTGAAAATGCTCTTAGCGTATTCTGGTGAACAACAGTACAAGGTAATTTGTTCCAGTCCTCTATAGTGTTCGGTACAGAAGAACCGGAAGCAGATTTTAAGGTGAAGTTCTTGCGCTGGACCCGTTTGTTATGTGAGTTTCTCTCATTTTGACGGGTGGATAGACGACTAGTAAGACTGCTATGAGATATGGTCGGATTGCACAATGTTTGTCTCTAAAAAAAAGTTTCTATTTTGATTTTGTTGACAGAAATCAACCAGATAATGAAAGTCGATATTTATATAACTTCGTCAGAGAACGAAAACTATAAAAGAAGGAGGTATTTTGATACACAAGACATTGAACAATAAAAAACAATAACAACAGAGTTCTCCTTATTTATTTTGGTTCTTAATAGATTGTGATACATAGAGATCTCTTGTTATTCACTATGATATACTCTATTCAATAGAATGAGAGTGTTCTACCTTCACTCGTGTCAATATTATTTCAAGCCAAGCATGTTTTGGAAGAAATTTGAGAGTAGAGTTTAAATTAGCTAAGATCCTCACTAAACAATAAATTCTGTTAAATATGTGATATAAAAATCAGAATTGAAAATTCATATCAACTATATATCGTTTTTCTAGGAAATGAAAGAATTTATTTTTTGCTCTTTTTTTTCCATCGTAAATACTCTGGGACAATGAAAATGCAAAGCTAACATTTTCAACGGCAATAACAATTTGTATCAATTAAAAATAACTACCAATAAATAAATTTGCTATCAGCATTGAACGGATTGGTCCGCAAGAGAAGAAAACAAGATTTTAAAAGTTTTTTTTAAAAGATGAAAGAATTTTTCTTTTTTTTTTTTTGAACGGAAACTAAGCTTTTCCGAGAGATTTTAATTTAAATCAGATTATTTCCTTAAAGCTTTCATGTCTTTTTTACGTAGCGTGATAAAAAGTGCAGTGCCGAATAGGATAATAAAAAGAACAAAACAAAACGATAGAAAAACAATAATAGACCGTTCAAATTTAATAAACTTACCTACTCAGACTTCAAACTCATTTGAAAAAGAAGGAGACGAGTCGTTTGACAAACATTTATTATAACGACAGGTAAGTTATCTGATACAATTAAACTAACTTTTCATAATAAAAAAAAAGAATAAAAATGAACAAAATCTTTTTCTTACTACCAAACTGAGTTTAAAATATACATATTTTTTCTTTGTAAAGTTAATATTTTTTCAACAAAAAATTTCCAATAAAATGTCTTATGATCGTCAAGATAGTACATTGACTACATCAACGTGGACAAGATGTGCATCCGCTTTATCGTCATTTTCTGTTGGTCACAAAATACCAGTGCGTCAAATACCAGTGATAAAAGGTGATATTAATTACATGAGTACTGATGATAGTGATTATAGTGAATATGATAATATGGAGACAAATAATGAAGAAAATATTAAACAACTTCGCCTTCTTATTGAAGATATACAAATATCCGTTAAAGTATTAGAAACAAATTATGAATCAGATGAAATAACTGAAAGTCTTGAATTTATTTATTCATTATTTTATGATTATTCAAGTAAAGATAATCCAATATTTGCTCATACACTTGTTGAAGAAAATTATTGTACACAAGCTCAAAAATTATTGACCTATTATGTCAAAACTGGTATATTTTCTAATCCAAATATAAAACGATCAACACAATTTATTATGTATACTTTATGGAATTTTAGTGGAATTAGTGATAAATTTCGTTTATGTTTAGCACAAAAATTTCCTCTCAGTTGTTTATTTGATTTTTTACAACCATCGTTTACTCCAACAATGAATAGTAATAATGATCAAGCTATTTTAAAAAATTTAAAACAAGCAGCCATAAGTATAATACATAATATATCATTATTATCAACAGCAGAAATATATTTTAAACACATGGTCAATTATGTTGAACAATTAGATGTTTTTATGACACACACCGATAATAAACGAATGAAATTAACAGCTTTATTATGTTTAATTCATCTTTATTTATCTAAATTGAAGAATGAGAATGTTGATTTTAGTTTACAATACAAAAATGTATTTAAATTATTATTTCAAACATTAAAAGAATGTGTTAAAGAGCAAAAAGTGATGATAACAACAGGTCTATCAGCATGGTTAATCACCTATGCATTGAATAAAATTATTCATTTAAGTTTAATTGCAACAAAAATTATTGATGAACATGCCATTTATTCATTAATGGTATTATTAAAACGTGGCGTTATTGATGAAAAATTTGAAAGTGGTATAGTATTATTAAATTTAATTCATCAACAACCAATAAAAACTATTCAAATTTTAAAACGAGATAAAGCATGTTGGAAATTATTCGAACACATGCGACCATACTTGGATGATGAAAATAATACACGACAAAATAAATTGGCTGCTGAGTGAAATATAGAAAATATACATTACAAGAATAATAAACTAGGTAGCCCATTAAAACTTCTACTATTATTCATTTATTATGTGCGACTAAAAATAGTATTGTCAAAGAAAAACATATGGTGCAAATATCGAGTATCAACAATATTATACATACATATATAAATATATATAGATATAGATATATTGACTCAGTATGGGATCGGTCACTTGACACGTAACAGATGTGCCCTGACATTTTTCACAAAATATATACTAGACAGTTTATTACATAACGAAAAATTGAAATGTTATGTGAAAAACACTAACGAAGGAACCGTCCCACATGATTCACTCCGTTTTTAACCACGTTTTGCTGATGTGTAGAGTCTATTGCCCTGAGAAAAAGCCTAAAAGGATGTGGGACCATGTTGCTTCTTTCAAGAGTTATTGAATCTTCTCGTTTCGATGAGGAGGGCTAAATCTAACATTAAATTATTTATAACTCAGTCAAAACAGCGAGTTTTTTGCTGTCAAAAGTTTTTTCTCATTCAAAAAAAGCTCAAAGTTTTTTCTCATCACAGCCTAGTCATCTAT